TGAGCCGCCATACCCAGCCTGTATACTTAAAAATGCTTAAAATAATACATTTTATGTTATAGATACTTTACCACATTTTTAAAAAATCCCATAGCTTCCAAAAACAAAACAAAACAAAACAAAACAAAACAAAACAATTTTAAGCCCCATGAAATCTGTTCTTACCAGAGTATCATCATTCTGGTCTCCAAACATTTCTTTAAAAATCTTGCCAGGATCAGGAATTGGAGGGAATATAATGATCTTGAGCCTTTAAGAAAACAGAGACATTTTGATTCAAACCTTCCAGTCCATAGCAGTGTCCCACATAAATAGCACCATATTAAAAGAAGGCACAGACAAAAGACATGGTACACAAGTCATCTTTATTGACAAGGCAGTTGTGAAGAAATTTCTAAAATAGGGTACACAAAAATCAATGTTCTAAGGTCATTAAGTTCCACTCTTGCCCATAGGTGGAGCACAGGGGCCATCAGAATAAGTGAATTACTTATACCCTATCATCTAAATAATAATGCTGCTCTACTTTTAATAGACCAGATGGGCACTTGCTGTGTATAATTTTGAAAAAAAAAATAATCTTCTGAGAACAGGATACATTCCTGTTTCTTTTTTCTTCCAACTTCTCTCCATTTTCCAATCTTATAGCACCCTTTAATGGGCTTGCCTCCATCTCCCAGTGAGTGTCCATGGATGTGCCCCCAGGATTCAGTCTTTTGTCTTCTTGTCTATCTCATTCACTTTATGAGCACTCCCTTCAGTCTTTGGGCTTTAAATCCATTCACATGCCGAGGATTCCAAAATTAGATTTCCAGCCCAGGCCTCTCCCTTCAACTCCAGATTCATGCACACAATCGCTTATTTAACATCTTCATTTGGATATCTAATAAGCATCTCAAACTTAACATGTGCAAAACTGAAGTCCTTATCTTTCCTCAAACCCAGCTTTCCTCACAGTCTCCTCTGTCTCAGTAAATGGCACCAGCATTCACTCAGTTGCTCAAGCCAAAAATCTAAGAGGTATCTCTGAATCCTCAATTACCCTCATACCTCCACAGACAGGCAGCTATCAGCAAGTCTTATCAATTCTACTCTCAAAATATATACTATTTCTGACCACTTCTTGCTGTCTCCATTGCTAACCCCGTAGTACAGGTTATCCTCATCTTTCTGCCAAAACACTGCAATTCCTCTGAACTACTCCATCTGCCTCCACTTTTGCCCAAGTCAGTTCTTCACTCAGCAACTACAATGATCTTTATGACAGTAATTCAGATCACGTGCCAACTCTACTCAAAACTCTCCAATGCTCCTCATCATGCTTAGAATAAAATCGCAGTTCCTTGCCATGGCCTGCGTGATCTGGTTGGCCAACCTCTGTCCTCACTCGCTGCTACTCTCCACCTTGCACTCTCCACTCCAGCCAAACAAACCAAGTGCATTTCAGCCTTGGGGACTTGGCATTTGCTGTTCCCGTGGCCTGGAGTGCTCTTTCCTTGAATATCTGAATGACTCACTCCTTTACATTATTGGGAGTCTCTCCTCAAATGTCACTTCCTCAGAGAGGAGTCCTCTGGCCATCCTACGTAAAATGCACCTCCCTAGCCGTACCCCGCTACTGTCACTTATACTTCTATGTGAAATCATAGTATTTATTATTTATTTTGTGTGTCTGTGTGTATGTGTGTGTGTGTATCTTTCCCTCTAGAATGCAAATGGGGACTTTGTCCTGTTTACTGCTGTAACTTTAGCACTTAGAACACTGCCTGGTTCACAATTAGGCACTCAAAAAATATATATATATGTTGAATCAATGTTGAAATAATGATAAAATATTGGTTCTGGATCTAGCTTAATAACCTTATTCCAACCTTAGTTATTTACTGCAAGAGCAAATAACAGTCCTATAATGAGATAGAGAAAATAATACCTTCTCAAGGAATGGATACCATACATTCATGACAACTTGATGGAGTTCTCTTTCCCACAATATTAAGTAGTAGCCTGCTTTGTATTAATACTAGACAGTCATTTTATTAGTAATGGTCTCCATTTCTAAAACTTCATTCCAAGAACTACTGACTAACTTGATAGATTAGGTATTTGAAAGAGTATTAAGTGAACATAGGACCTATTCAACAATCCTAAACACATGCAAAGGGAGCCATGCTTGAGCAGGGAGCCCTGGAAAACTAATCCAACACATTTTTCATTAGAAAGTGGGCATAGTGGCCAGGTGTAGTGGCTCATGCCTGTAATACCAGCACTTTGGGAGGCTGAGGAGGGTGGATCACTTGAGGTCAGAAATTTGAGACCAGTCTGGCCAACATGGTGAAACCCTGTCTACTAAAAACACAAAAAATTAGCCGGACGTGATGGTGGGCACCTCTAATCCCAGCTACTCGGGAGGCTGAGGCAGCAGAATTGCTTGAACCCAGGAGGCGGAGGCTGCAGTGAGCCAAGATCACACCACCGCACTGCACTCCAGCCTGGGCAACAGAGACTCCATCTCAGGAAAAAAAAAAAAAAAAAAAGAAAGAAAGAAAAGAAAGAAGAGAAAAGAAAAGAAAAAAGAAAAGGAAAAGAAAGTGGGCACAGTAATACTTCCTTGTCATGTCATGTTCCCAAAAGCTACTTACAGGCAACATGCTTCTTATACACTGGGCAGACATAAAACACAAGCACTAAGAGTAATAACCATAGCAAACAGGCTATCAGAAACTGCAAAACCTGCCTGGGCAGCTACCTTACCTTTTTAGGTAAAGCAGAAGTACTATGATTGCACCTGCGACGATGACTGGAACAATGAGTAACATGGTTATGTAGAGTGTGGAATTGCGCTTCTTACCTGGAGAATGAAAAGCAAACAGAAGAAAGACTTGAGAAATAAAACCCTTTTAGTAATAAACCAAGCAGCAATTCCATTAGCTAGTAAGATCACAAATATTTCTGCTCCCTCCCCCAACCTATTTTCCCAAACTCTTCAATTATCTTATCTTCTGTTAAATTAATAGTTTAAAAAAAAAAAAAAAAAAAGTCCTCCTCTGGTGCCTGAACTTCCCTGGGTGAACAAATACCTAAAAGATTACCTGAAATCAGGATATTTTTAAAAAGACAAATATAAGCTTTATTCTCTTTCAAAAACTCAGAGACTAGGGCCTGGAACCATATTGATTAATTTAATCTGAATCAGAATCCCTTAAAATTGATGGTCTCATTTAAACTTTTGTTTGTTTGTTTTGGTTTTTTTGAGACAGAGTCTCTCACTCTGTCACCCAGGCTGGAGTGCAAGAGCACAATCTCAGCTCACTGCAACCTTTGCCTCCACGGTTCAAGCGATTCTCCTGCCTCAGTCTCCCGAGTAGCTGGGACTACAGGTGCACACCACCACCCCTAGTTAATTTTTGTATTTTTAGTAGAGATGGGGTTTCCCTATTTTGGCCAGGCTGGTCTCAAACTCTTGACCTCAAGTGATCTGCCCGCCTCGGCCTCACAAAGTGCTGGGATTACAGGTATGAGTTACTGTGCCCAGCCTCATTTAAAATTGTATAGAAATAGACTAACCATTCTAAAAATGACAAAATACATGTTGTTTTCAACTACATAGTAAAAAAATGTAGTAAACTCTCTTATTCAAAATAGAGGAGGGCTGGGCTAGTGAGCTCAAACATTCATAACAAATAAAAATTTCTCTATGTACATATAATAATGTTTTCATAGCCTAAAATCACTATTCAAAAACTGATAGTAAAATTATGTAGTGTTCAGAAGTTGGAAAGCCAACACATTGGAATTATCCAAGCTTTTTTTGGCATATGTAATAATGGCATAGAATGTCTTAAATCATGATTGTCCCAGAAGATCTGAGACAGATGTCAGTGACATGCACATTGTCCATTGTTCAGTAACTTTCAAAGAACTAGAACAGACTAAACTATGTAAACTATTCAATACAATTCGATATTTCTTAACTGATTAAAAAAAAACAACTTCAAGATCTTGCACTGCTTTAAAGGAAGGAGTATAAACGAATTAGTAGTAACTGGAAAATAGTTATAATAGACAGCAGGCACTGAATAATTCTGTCTGACAAATACCAAATAACTGCTTTTAGCAAATAAACTGGTAACATATCACAAAGGGTTTTTTTAAAAGCTCTTTTAAGTTATTTTGCCATGAAAGATTTTTTTAAATAAAAATATTCCTTCTTAGAATAACTTTAAACATTGATATTAGTCAATTGATAAAATCAATGGAATGATTTTAGCTAAGACTTTTAACATTATCTCAAAGATTCAAATAATTTTAAGATTCTAGTTTACATATAAAACTATATATGCCTTAGTATTGATTCAAATATGATTACTACAAACAAACGTATCTCATTGGAAAACATAAAAATTTTTTTCCAGATCCAAGAGAAAAGGTATGAATGAAGCCCTTTGTAAGTGCGCACATGCGCGCGTGCACACACCCAAACACACAAATTAAATGATGAAGAAGACTGAGCCAGGAGACACAGATGTGACTAGGGAAAGTACTTTCCCTCAGAGATCCCTTCCAGCTATCTGATTCTACAGTTCCCTCTGAAATGTACAAACTGGCCTCACATTTTCAAGTTTCTACACAGGATCTGGTAAAGTTTGCCTGTTTGCTTATACTAAAATATCAAATAAATCAACACAAACCCTGTCCTACAAATCTGTACACCAACTAGTTTTCCAGAGAGAGTGATTTTTTTTAATTTAATTTTTTTGAGACAGAGTCAGTCTCACTCTGTCTCCCAGGCTGGAGTGCAGGGGCGCAATCTCGGCTCACTGCAACTTCCGCCTCCCAGGTTCAAGCGATTCTCCTGCCTCAGCCTCCCGGGAGCTAGAACTACAGGCGTCTGCCACCATGCCCAGCTTATTTTTATATTTCAGTAGAGACAAGGTTTCACCATGTTGGTCAGAGTGGTCTTGAACTCCTGACCTCAAGTAATCCACCCACCTCAGCCTCCCAAAGTGATGGGATTACAGGCATGAGCCACAGCACCCAGCCCAGAGATAGTGATTTTTAAAAAATTCATTCCACAAGTCATTAGAGTGTACACAAGTCATTTAAGGCAGAGTGCCAGACCAAACCTGCAACATTATGGTGTCACTGTCCCTGGGAACAAATTACTATCTGAAAAACTGGACTCAGGTGACTGCTTCAGGCCCAACCTGGTTCAGGGTAGTGATTTCCAAATTTGAGAGAATACGAGAATCTCCAGAGGAGTTTGTTAAAACACAGTTTCAAGCATCTCACCCCAGCATTATTGTGTCAGAATCTCGGGTTGGTGACTCCTCATCTATCTGCATATTTAACAAATATGTTCTCCCACACCCCTCCATGCCTCTGCAGATAATTTGTGGGTCTCTCTCCATCCCAACCCACCCTCCCCACAAAGAAAAGAAAACCACTGTACTGTAGTGGCAAAAGCTTTAGCCTTAGCGTCAGGAACCACTTGCCAGCTGCCTGATCTTGATTGAGTTATTTCATGTTGCTAGGTCTCTCAATCTCTTCCTCTGGTAGGGGTTGAAAATTAGTCTCTACAGGGATCCTTTCCACTCTCTGACTTGGAGAACCTAACATGGCAACTCAGTATGATGAAGGAGGTGGGGAGAGTTTGCAAGGATGTTTCACTCTGCGGTCAACCCTCCACCACCAGGCAACAAGGTTTAGCAGCCCCCAAGAGTAAGCGGGTAATTCCCTCCTCTGGTACCCTCATTCACAAAGGGAGGAAAAGTGAGGAGAAGTTGGAATAGGATGAGGGGCAAAGGGGGGAGGCTGAAAGAAGCTTGCAACAGTTTTGGCAAGAAGCAGGAAGGGTCGTTGGAAAGCTGGAATCACCCCTCCTCCCCATTGTCGTCATCGTTCTGGTTGGTCCTGGTAGCAAATGTAGATGATCAGCATGACAAAGCCGGTGAGGATGCAGAGGGAGCTGATGATCAGGTAGGCGATGCCCAGGAAGGGGTTCCTGCCACCCATCCACAAGATGCTGCTGAAGATGCGGAGCTTGTGGCCGCCAGATGCACGCATCGGGTAGTTGTAGGTGACGTTGACACAGTAGACACCCCGTAGTAGCCCAGCTGAGTAGCTGCCCTGGTGGACGTCCGCATACAGCTTGCGGAATGAGGGCAGCGCTGCTATGTGCATCCACACCACGAAGTCTTGGTTGATGAAGCCAGTGTTGTTGGGGATGGGCTCGTCGTAGACCAGCCGGTGCCAGTTGGGCGGGAGTGCCGTGCCACACAAGGCCAGTGCCAGGCTGCCGTTGACCAGTGGCGGGTTGCAGAACTTGATGGGATAGTTGTTGGTCTACCAGGCGATGCAGGTGCAGTGCGGTAGTGCGGCACCTCCACGTAGGGCCCGCCGGCCGGCGCTGGTGTCACAGCGAGGAGGAGTCGTTGAAGAGGCTGTTGGTAATGATGGTGCAGGGTGCGCAATGGGCAGGCGGCGCAGTGGGTGCACTCATTGACCGGGTGGTGCAGCATGCTGGGCAGCCTGCTCAGCTGCGCGTTGTCATGGACATTCCATACCACCGGTTGTTTTGGTAGAAGTTGGTCAGCACGTAGTAGGGGTACACGGGGCCCTGGAAGAGCTCAGGCAGTGAGAAATACCAGGCGCATGAGCAGGTGGGCGGTGTCGCACAGCCCTGGCCAGCTGCAGTTCACACCGAGCAGTTGCTGGTGCCCGGGCTGCCAGTGTAGTTGTACTCCAGCTCCTTGATGCTGTTGGAGGAGTAATAGAAGGCCAGGCCCACGTAGAAGAGCTGCAGCCTAATGCTGGCCAACAGCAGCGGTTGCCAGGCGGGGAAGCGCTGCCGCGTGAATGTGGTGGTGTTGAGCTGGTGGGCACCCCCGGCTGTGATGCTCCAGGTCATGGCGGCTGCATGGGCTGACCAAGAGGGGCCCAGCCACGGGACGCTTCCCCTGTGCACTGGGCGAGCCCAGGGGATCCTCATGGGGCGGGTTTCCCCGCCCACTCAGGTAAATCGGAAGATCTTAACTAGTTTTAAACACTATTAACAAAGATGCTATATTAAATATGTCATCTCATTAACAGTGACTACATATTTTACTGGTTACTTATCACTACTAAAATACCTAAAATAATCCTAACAACGACTACTATTATTCTTAAATAAGCACCTACCATACGTCTGATACCATACTGGGTGGTTTTGCATGCTTATCTCATATATATGCTATAATGATAGCATTATCTCCCATTTAGGCAGATGAGAAAGATAAGGCTCAGAGAGGTTTAGTAAGTCATCCAGAAGGATTTAGTAAATAATGGCGTCAGGCCTCAAATTCCAGTTACACTGTGCAATTCCAAAGCCTGCCTTGCTACATCTAACATATAGACTGTCGTTTGTCTACATGCATATTCATTTTTCCCACTAGGTCATGAACATCTAGAAAGCATCATCAAGGCCTGGCACCATTGTTTTAGGTAGTCACTAAGATTTCTCCACATGATTCCTGCCTCCTGATATGCATACCCTGGTGTAATCTCCTCTCCTTGAGCGTGGGCTAGACAAATTGACTCACTTCTAAAAAATGGAACAGCAGCAGTAATGGGATGTCATTTCTAAGGTTAGATTATAAAAGACCATGGTTCCCATATTGGGTGTTCTCTCACACTGTTTCTTGCTTGGATTACTCACTTGGGAAAGCCAGTTTCCATGTCAGGAATTAGCTCTATGGGGAGGTCCAAGTGGCAAGGAACTAAGGGAAGCAAATTACCACAAACTGAATGGCTTAAAACAACAGAAATGTATTATCTCACAGTTTTGGAGGGCAGAAGTCCAAAATGAAGGTGTCAGCAGGGCTATGCTCCCTCTGAGGGCTCTAGAGAAGAATCCCTCCTTGCCTCTTCCTAGCTTCTGGTAGCTCCTGGGAATCCTTGGTGTTCCTTGGTTGTAGCTGCATCTCTGCAATCTCTGCCTCCATCTTCACATGGCTTTCTTCCCTGTGTGTCTGTGTGCCTCTGTGCTCTGTGTGGCTGCTCTTTTTATAAGGACACTAGGCATTAGATGAAGGGTCCACTTTAATCCAGCATGACCTCATCCTCACTTGATTATATCTGCAAAAATCCTATTTCCAAATAAGGTTACATTCACATTTACCAGGGGTTGAAACCTACGAATATATCTTTTTGGGAGATTCAATTCAACCTGCGACAGCCTCCATCCAGCAACCAGTGAGGTACTGAGGCTTTCCAACAACTATATGAGTGAACTTGGAAATGGATTCTCTGTCCCCAGTCAAGCCTTCAGACAGATTTCAGTTCTCATTGCAGCCTGACTACAACCTCATGAGACCTCCAGCTAAGCTGTGGCTAGACTCCTGACTTACCGAAACTGTGAGATGGTAAATGTATGTTGGTTTAAGCCATTAAACTTTGGAGTAATTTGTTATGCAGCAATAAATAAACTAATACAACCATGCCTGGCACATAACTTGTTGAGCTTCTCAATTAATAGGGAATTGGCTACCTCAACAACCTGTTTGGCTCATATACAGCTGTTTAAAAAGTTCTTAAGTTGGTTCTGTGTTGCCCCTTGGAGACATAAAAAGTAAAGCCTATTCCTTCTTGTACCTGACAATACCTCCAATATTAGAAATCAGCAATCATGACTCCTCAAAGTTACTTTACCAATTGTTCCTTGCCAAGTTTTGAGATTCTTCAACATCCTGATTACCCTTTCAAAGATAGATTCTGGTCTGCCAAGGCAACTCCTTTAATGTGTTGCCTTGGAATGGAATACTGCACAATTCTGATGTGGCCATAGCTCTGTGCCCCAACCTGCAGCATTCCTTTCCGGGTGCTCCACTTATCACTCCTAAGATTATATATGCCTTTTTGACACATTTAAGGTTACAATGTTGAGTCACATTGCACTTACAGTCAAATAAAGCCCTGTATCCCACCCCACCACACACACATCCATAAAGCACAGGTCTTTCCAGTCCAGTACTTGAGCCTAGCTTGCTCAGCCTTTCAATTAATAAATGATTTTTTTTTCAAACTTAGATACAGGTTTCTATTAAATGGCTCCACTCTTGTTTCTGCCAACCACTTGTAGGACAGTCTCTAGTATTGTACAATGTGCAGATTTGATTATGCCTGACTTTTTTTTTTTTTTTTCTTGAGCAGGGTCTTACTCTGTCACCCAGGCTGGAGGGCAGTGGTACAATCTAGGCTCACTGCAACCTCCTCCTCCCAGGCTCAAGAGATCTTCCCATCTCAGCCTCTTGGGTAGCCGAGACCACAAGCGTGCACCACTATATCTGGTTAATTTTTGTATTTTTTGTAGAGATGGGGTTTCACCATGTTGCTCAGGCTGGTCTCCAACTCCTGGGCTCAAGCAATCCTCCTGTCTCAGCCTCTCAAAGTGCTGGGATCACAGGCGTGAGTCACTGTGTGCAGCCTATGCCTGCTTTCTATATTTTTGTTCAGTTTGTTAATAAAAATGGAAATGAGATAGAGAAGAACACAAAACCATTTGGATTATGGTTTTCTAAAAAACTGTATACGTAAATTAACCCTGCCTGGGTGATTTGAAAGTGATTAAAAAGAAAATAAATTTCAATTGTAAGTACTCTTTTCCTCACATCAAGAGAGCATGACAGCCCCTTTCCCCGGTCTATTTTCTGCTTCAGCTTAGTTTTTATGCATCAATGTTTTACATTTTAATAAAAATTCTGTTCTCTTACCTATACTCATTTCTTGGCTCCAATTACTCCAGAGTTTGTCATCCTCATAGCATAACTTATTTGTTTTGACTCTTATTCTGACTGTGTTCAAAGTATCAGGAAGAACGCCAGGGACCATGAAACAAGATGTATTCTTAGGCATAAAATAAAAATACACAAGGAATATTACCAGCTTATTCTTTTTCACTGTTATTGAATCATAATATAATTATCTGCCAAATTCTGTCTATGATTAAGACTTGGATTGCAATTCAAATTATTTTTGATTCTTCAAAAAATTGGCAATAACTCATGGAACAAAGTAATTTGTTTTTCTCAAAGCAGCTCATATTTATGCTATGCTCCACCCCCAACTGCTGTAAGTCTAAGCCCAAATAGTTAATGTTGAATTTACTGACCTCCACATTTCTCTCAAATTCTGGATTCTGACATTTAGCCTCTTGGACCTTGAAAATAAAAATAAACAAACAAACTAATGAGTTCTAAATGTTTAAAAACCCATTTTCCATCACTTAGTCACTTCTAACAAGCTTTCCTTTTATCCTATTAAAAGATGATCAAGAACAGTGAAAAAAGGTTGATCTTTAATAAATGGTGCTGGGTCAATTACATATGCATATGGAAAAACAAAAGAATCTTGACCCCCTACCTCGCACTACTCACAAAATCAGTTCCTGATATACTGCAGATTTAAATGTGTAAGATAAAATAAATTAACAAATACATAACTATAGCAAGCTTTTAGATGAAAACATAGACTATCTTAATGACCTTGAAGAAGGGAAATATTTCTTAAACAAAACCAAAAAAACCTCCCATATTAACCATAAAGGGAATTTTAAAATAAAGTCATCTATATTAAAATTAAAAACTTTTGTTGATCAAATGACACCTTATTAGGGAAATAAACAGGCAATGCATAGAGTGTGAGAACATGTTTGCAATTTCTGACAAAGGACTTGCATATATATTTTTTCTTATCCTACTAACTAATAAGGCAAAGACAGAAAACCCAATTTAAAAAAATAACTGGCAAAAGACTTGAACAGGCACTTTACCAGAGGATAAGCAAGTTGTGAATAAACATCTGAAAAAGTGTTCAACATCACTGGTCATGAGAAAAATGCAAATTAAATCCACAAGATAACAATACACACTCTTACCTGACAACAACAAGTGTTGTGAGAGGATATGAAGCATCTAGAACTCACAATTTCTGCTTAGTAGTGTAAACTGACACAACCATCTAGGAAAACTGTTATTATCTGTTAGAGACAATCATATGTAACCTTATGACCCATGTATGCCTATATAAATGCCCCACACAAATGTACGCACATGTGTGCCAAGAGACAAGTATGTGAATGTTCATAAAAACTCCATTCATAAAACCAAATTGGAAACTATCCAAATGTCCATCAACGGGATAATAGATAAAGTATGGTATATTCACACAATGGAATGAATGTAATGAGAACATACCATCTACAGCTATAAGAAACAACATTGGTGAATCTCATAAACATAATGTTGAGTGAAAAAAAGGGCAAACACAAAAACGTACATTCTGGGCCAGACACAGTGGCTCATCCCTGTAATCCCAGCACTTTGGGAGGCTGAGGATGGTGGATCACATGAGGCCAGGAGTTCTAGAGCCAGGAGCCTGGCTAATATGGTGAAACCCCATCTCTACTAAAAAATTTAAAAAAAAAAAAATAGCCGGGTGTGGTGGCGCATGCCTGTAATCCCAGCTACTCCGGACACTAAGACAGAAGAATCGCTTGAACCCGGGAGGCGCAGGTTGCAGTGAGCTGAGATTGTGCCACCGCACTGCACTCCAGCCTGGGTGACAGAGCAAGACTCTGTCTCGGAAAAAAGAAAAGAAAAAAAAGGAAAGAAAGTACGTTCTCTATAATTCCATTTATATAAAGTTTTAAAGTAGCAACAAAATCAATCTATGGGATTAGAAACCAGGATAGTAGCTGCTCTTCGGGAGGATAGCAACTGAAGGGGATTATGAGGGGGCTTCTGTGGTGCTGGTTACATAGGTGAAAAATCATTTGTGAAAAATCATTGAGCTATAGGTTATGATTTGTATAATTTTGATTGTGTATTGTACCTCAATAAAAACTTCTAAAAAAGAGACAGGGAGCGAGAAACCAGTGTCCCTTGTTGAGAGTATAAGATATAAAACGTGACTGGGTTGGAGAAAAGAAAGTGTAATGCAAAATTCTCCTCCACATAATAAAAGTCACTTGCTGTCTAATGTAAAGAGAATACTAATTTCCTTAAATGCAAGTATTTCCAAAATGGAGTAAAAAACACATGAAAATCTGTTTGCTTAAATAGTCAATTTCTATCAAAGAGATGTTTAAACTTGGAACCAAGACCAGAACACACAGCTATTATTTTTGACATTTAATGTCATTCACTAAATAGTTCCTACCAGCATGTGTGAAGAGCTAAGAGGCCAAGCAAATGATGAAGGGACATCCTTTCAATATTTCATACAGGGGTTGAGAAAAAAAAAAAACCCACTCAGGGGGCTAGTATACCCTATTACTGGCCATTTAGAATAGTAGACCTGTTGGGGAATCACAAGCGTCAACTACCAGTTGAGGGATCAAGTTGCAAATTGATGTCCCTCCTCCCCTGGACCATCTCCCATATACAGAAATTGCAAACTTGGTGAATCAACCTATAGATTTAGGTCTCTAAGTTCTTGTTCAAATGTAAATCCCCCTGCATAGTTTACTGGCTATTCAGAGACCACTAAGAGAAGGAAAGTCAGGGCACCCAGAAGATAGTTTGCTGGGAAGGTTGAGGGGTGGGGGGTGGTCAGAGACAAGTTGTTCCTTACTTCATAATTCTGTCATGAGCTACCTCTAACCATAGCCCCCATGTGATAGTACCAGTTCATGTTCCCACTTACTTCCCCCTCTTAAGTGTAACACCAGACAAAATAATTCCTCCAAAAGGAAAAAAAAATTCTAAGCAGCAGAGCTCAAAATCTGTGAGCACACAAAAAACTGATGACATTCTACATCTGCTAGGAGAGAGAACATTAAACTCAAGTGTACAGAGTTAATTCCAAATAGAAAATAGTTCTGATATAGGTAGATAACTTCCATAGTGTATGTGTTCTCTTCAGTTCAGAAGTTTGTAAAAAAAAAAAAAAAAGTAACTCAATTCAATAATAATATATTAAATGATGATTATGC